TATGCTTCAAGCTGGTATGGGCCAAGCCGTTGTCTCTACACGTTTTCATGTCCATCGAAACACAATCCGGGATTTGTGGAGACGACATCAACAGTTTGGCCACGTCGGCGATCAACCTCGTGCGGGATGTCCACGTGTGACGTCACGTCAACAGGACAACCATACTCGGCTTGTCCATTTGAGAAATCGCTTCCAAACGGCAAGTTTGACTGCACGGACAATCCCTGGGTTGCTACCAATACGCCCGAGAACTGTACGGAACCGATTGCGTGAACGAGCTATCCGTCCGCGACGTCCTGCAATCCGCCCAGTTCTTCTGCCACGTCATCGTGTAGCACGTCTGGACTGGTGCAGAAGGCATCTGCGATTTACTCGACGGGATTGGGCAGGCATTTTGTTTACGGACGAGTCGCGAGTCCACCTGGATAGTAGTGACGGCCGTTCCAGAGTGTATCGTCGCGTTGGAGAACGTTTCCGTGACGCGTGTGTGGTACAACGACGTTCTTTCGGCGGAGGCAGCGTTATGATTTGGGGCGGCATCACAGCCAACGGGAGAACGCCTCTGGTGGTTGTTAACGGGAATTTGAACGCGCTACGTTACCGTGACGAGATCCTCCGGACCCACGTCGTTCCATTCGTGCAAGGGCAGCAACGTCACATTACGCTACAGCAGGACAACGCCAGGCCACACACAGCTCGTGTCGCTATGGACTTTCTGGCCCAGCAGAACGTTGACGTGTTGCCCTGGCCTGCTTTAGCCCCGATCTGTCGCCCATTAAACACGTCTGGGATGAAATGAAGCGCAGATTACGGGCATTACCTAATCAACCGGTGACGTTGGCTGATTTGCCTGCAGCGTTGGTACAGATCTGGAATGCCATCCCACAAACATTCTTGAACCGTCTGATAGGATCCATGCGTCGACGTTGCCAGGCTTGCATTCAGGCAAACGGTGGACATACGAGGTATTAACTTTAGAACTCAGTATTAACCCCTGCTTTACGTCCCTCCTGAGCGGAACTTATTGATTCCATAACGTGGTAAATGGAATGCAACTGTTAATAAATAACAAATAAATTGTCCCTGAAAACCTTGAACACATTTTAGGCATGCACAGTTTCTTTTTTCCGCTAGTATAGTTCCCGCGCTTCATCCAACGCTGTTCTAAATTCGCGTTTTGACTGTTTGTATATTGTGTATGATTCATAGCAGTGTCCACTTGGCCGTCCTTCTTGTACCCAATTTGCACGACATTGTCGCACAACAGTATGCAATTCCTTGACATGACCGTGGTTCCAGTACGGCTTAAGAAACGGAAAATGTGATCTCTGTACAATGTCCGGCGATACGCGGTCATCGGACCTCCCAAATGACCTGAAGTTGATATCGACACTTTCCAAGAAATTTAATTGTTCTGGAGGTAACCAGTGCTCGGTGATAACGGCGATGTTTCATAACTTATATAGCTATTATATATTGTTTTCCGCCGTTAGAGTTCATATAATGAATTTGAGATTCTATATATTGATAAATACTTAGCCTTCATAAAAAACAGCCAGCTAAAAAATATCTTGATACACGGAAAGATGTTGGTATCCAGGGACAAGGGACAAGAACGTGTATAAGTTTATGTGTCTGATTGAAGCAATGGACCACTTTAACTTAAACGTAAAACATATATCATTCTGTTATCTTATTACGGGATGATCGTCTAAAAGGGTTCTTTTGTGTTATGTCATTGTATCTACCTGGTTGAATAGCTGCAGTGTCAACATAAATCTCCTAAATCTTGTCCATTTCTTCACACTGTGAGAAAGATTACTGCTGATCACAGTGTGACACATTAAACTGCGCCGTTTTCTCTATTCTATTTTAATTTATGTTTAGGTTTATTTTCAATAAGTCACCAAAACAAGTTTGGGGACCAATTGCTTCAGCTGTTTTTCTTCATGTTGTTATCCTTTCTTCTTTCTATGCTTATTATTTCATCTTGTTTCCGGAAGTTAGATAATACAGTTCTAACCGATTACAGAAAGGCAGAAAAAAGCATTCACAAAAAAGGACGAACTAATCTTGCAATGTTAGCATCGTCGGAATGCATTGGATTTGCTCTTCATGAGAAAAGCCATAATGCAACTGAATAATATTTAATACACATGAACATCTCGTACACATTATTATTGATACAAGTATGATAATAACGAACATAGAGTCTTACAACATCAGTTTCGAGTAAATAGTGGATATAGTACAAAAACATATTATAACATTCATCAATATTTCATTATTATATCTGAACTCCATCTACCTAATACTGATGTTACAGTTACACTTTAGTATTCAGCCAATTAATGACGTTGTGGGGGATATTCTTTTAGATTTTACGTTATATAAGCAGACATTTCTTATTTTATAGCCTTCAGGATTACCTATTTTACATATTTTCTAAACGAAACAATAACATCAACTTGTAAGAGGATTATATTTACACTAGTACCGATAGATGTTTTTTTTGTATATTACTCATAAACCACCAAATTTGCAATATATATATATACAAACTTATTTGTATAAATTGTTTATGTTTATTAGTAATACCATGTTTGTTTGTTCTTTGTGTAGCTTTATAATATTACGTTGACAGATAGTCGATTAAAAAAATATAGACGAATGTCGATAAGAGCACAGAGAACATTCTCAATACATAAGACACTCTATGTTAATTCACACACAAACCTCGTTTTATCTCAATCAGTATCTATCGTTTGTATTCAGACTTGTAAAAGGTAAGATAGTCTATGGTATTCATATAAAGTTGTGGATATAGTTAGAGATAGTGCTTTTAAAATGATGAAACACATATTTCGAAAAATATACTACAACCGCTTCAGCTCTTTTTTGAATATTGTTTTGTCTGCTTCCTACCTTTGCTGACTGGTGGTATGTGTTATATATTTAATGTTGTTAGTATGCCAGTATTTGTCTTTATTACGACACCCATGTTATAAGCTTATGTTTATTACCTATTTAGGGGATAGTATGTTGTTTTGAGTGGCTATACTGACGATTAGAACATGAAATTTGGTTTGAACTCGAGACCCATAGGTGGAGAGTTTAAACCAAATGTCATGTTCTAATCGCCAGTATAGACACGAAAAACAACGTACTATCCCCATTCTAACACGCTTTAACAAATATACTACGCTAATATGTTTAGAAACATTGTATTTCCTTGTACAAAAGTACGTAGTAAAGTACTCTGTTACCTGAACTGGCGACGTGTCATTCTGCAGCGGACTGACCAATCGGAAAGAAGCTTTCAAAAGTCGGTTAATTGGCCCCGCCCATACTGGAGAGCGCTCGATCTGTATGTTTACGAGGCGGAATATTTGGATTGTTCGTGAACGTCCTGTTACCAAAGTGTATACGACACATTTGGATTAATATTTACCAAATCCAAACATATCTATGTCAGTATGCATACCAATCGGTGCTTATCGACAAAATCGGTGATTATCTGTTTAGATTTGTGAAGATTTTGTATAAATTCATACGACACGTGTGAAATGTTTCTTTGATTTCGGATCTTACTAGTTGCTTTCACACGGATGTAACGAACGTTACAGTAATAAATGGAGGTAAGAACAATGAATGTTTACTCTTTACTTACATTACATCGGTCGTTTGTGTTATATTGCCTGCGGGATTTCGCGAGAGGCGAGCTTGAAGCCATATTGTTTTGGTTAGAAACGGGGCGTGGCTTAAGTGCGATGGGAGGAGCTTAACACGATTGATCATGATTATATGGCAGATTAGAACATGGTCCGTATCCAATCAAAACACGCGTTGCAAACGAATCGTGTTAGCATCACCAGTAGGACATAGTGATCTCCTAACATAGGCTTATTGTAATTACGACTTATTATATAATTACGTACGTACAATACACGGGTTTTACTCTACCAATACTGTATTTATAAAATGAAAACGACCAAAATGATAACAATCTTCCGGGACAAGGATTAGTTTTCGTGAACATATTTGAATCAAAGAGTAATTTATATCAAAATCTAGAAAACACATATTTTTCATTTTATGGTAATCAAGGACGTTTTTCACAGCACTTAAATAGCGGTGCATATCCTAATTTCATCACGTATGGAAATAACGTTTTATCAAATATAACATTCAATTAACCATTTATATATAAGTAAGACGTATAGCGTCTTAGCCTCGAGTTTGTATTAAGGCTACGTTTAACTGTTCTTTTGTATATATAAACTTAGTATTGTGCTCCGTTTCCCTGTGATTATATAATTATAACACAACAAAACAGCATTTTTTGTCATTTAAATAGTTGTTATTGTATACAATTGCACCCCACTGTCTCCTTAACGTTTGATAGCAAGCATAACTGATACTTTCCAAGAATATTGGGTTGCTGAACAATTCTTACTACTCTAAACAAGTCGAAGTTAATCTATCCCGTATCATTTACAGGAAATAACCCGGCTTTGCGTCATTTGGTTAGGTTGATTTTCAACTTTTGAGACCTCAAATTGCTTGCCTATTACATATTATGAATTAGAACTATGAATATATGACTTTAACACATTGTTCCAAATCAGCAGTGTACCTAGATAACGTGGTGGTTTTACCTCGGAAAAGCTATTATTTTAAACATGCTCAAAAAGTTGCAGCTGCATGGCGAAGAACTACCTCTCTGCCTATTTTTCTGTAAATATTACAACAAATTTACCTCATCGCAAAAAATTACAACAAAACAGAAACTAGAATCTCAAGAGAATAAGCTAACAGCATCAATACATCTCGTTTCTCGTTAACGATAATACAGATAACACAATCATAGGTTTGTTTGTCTAAACTGATAAATGTGCGATTAGGAATGCTGTAAGTAGATGGTGATATTATACATGCATGCATACATACATACATGCATACATATAATGTGCATGCCTATTCCCGTTGCAATGTTCTGATTGGTGGTGATCACAGAAAATACACCCCGACCACGTGACACATATTCTGATATATAAGATTTCCGTTTACCTGTGACACACATAACTCGGCAGCACAGTGGATCGCTTGTACAAGTCGTGCAGTCGTGCACCAGGTAAGTGTATCTTGATTTGTAACTTATTTTTTGCAGACAAGTGGACATACACACTCACACAAACTCATCAACATCATCATCATCATCATCAAACAAAAACCTCTCGTGCATACGCACATTCATACTAACGGACATGCCCATTCCCACCCTGTTAAACCCAGGAAGGACATTATTATATTACAATTTGTACATCATGCTGTTGTGTGCTGTCTACATGACCTGTTCTAGTGGTTATCTGCTAATTTACTGTTTTTGTAAGTTAACCCGCTTATGTTAAAAACGTTGTATACAATCCATACATGTAATCATACAATGGTAGTGATCCTTTGCATCATTTTCGTCACATAAGATTTATGTTTAATCATTGCTTAAACAATTAAAACTTACTAAGACGTTCTTGAAATTGAATTGAATTGAATTCATTTTTCATCATATCATCGTAACAACCTTACAGCACACAGTGATATAAACGTTGAAATTCTGATTTTTTTCTCAACACATCTAAATGAAAATTTCAAAATTCCTTATAAAGCAAAGAAAAGATTGAAATATTTCTTAACCCTTATAATGATTTCAAATTTCCAATATGCAGTGTGTTATCAGTAGTAGAACAAAACAACCTCTTTCCATAACCTAATCACGTTTTAGTGTATGATTGACCACTGATTTGTAACGTCATTTATCTATATGTTAAGTAAATATCTTGCAAACAAAATTAGAGTAACGTCACATTCATTTTTAATTGAAATTATTTAATCTTTAATCAATATTTGGATAATACACCACAGCATGGAAATCTTGTTTTTGCGATAAACATCAATGCCTTTGCGATACATTATTATATCGTCGTACAAAATGGTTTATCTAAGGAATAACTGTGGGTATACGAAAAAACAGTGTGCACTTTGCATAAAAATAAAATAAGATTAATATCAACTTGAATTTATGACGTCGTAATTCAGATAGTTTAATTCAGTTTTTGTATTTATTTAAAGAACAAAATGCTTAAGATTAAAATCGTAAAAGTGCTTCTGAGTTGTTCCAGAGATAACTCCAGTTAACTGAGAACGATAATAGTTTTAGATGCTAAAATTGGAATTAGCCATCACATAGTTAGAAGCATATTTCTGAAACTCCATTTCATTTACCTGAAATAGTATTCCGCTATTATATTGGGGATTTCCTTTTTTTAGTGATTGAAATTCCGTTCATCAACTTTTAGTTTAAACGCCATCAATGCTTTATATTAACATAGAACCTCTATTTGCATAGCGTATTGATCTATTATGTATTTAAAAGATCCATTTTAACACGTTTGCGTTTGATATAATTCAGCTTGTTACAAGATAATATAGACCGTTACGATGTTTTGTTTATGACAAATTGATTTTACCAATAACCTTCTTATTTTAGAGTTTTTGTTGAAATGTGTTTGAAAAAGTTAATTTTGCATTATCATTCAATGACATATTGTCGTGTTATTATTAACAATAAATAAAGGATTTACCTAAATTTACGCGATGATGTCGGGAATTGATCGTAATAATCATAAAGTTAAACATTATTAATGAAGATGCAAATTCGTGAAGATCTCAACGATAAATATAATAGCACAGTATTATCAATACGTACTAACGGACAATTCAAAAATGAAATATGTTTTACTGATTGAGGCCTTCATAACAATCATAACATCCATGATCTCAGAAACCATATGTCAGCTGACTTGTTACTTTGGAGCCCTTTCGAATCATCTTAAGCATCTGAACATATTAGTATTATTAACAGACCTAAACCAAAAATTAGACATTTAACCTTTGCAATGAACATGGACACATTGCACGTCTCATGTATTTCATCATACGTTGTATCAAAAAGGAAAAATGTTTCGAAGTTACTTTGTCGCATGCCATCAATGATTTTTAAAAGATGTATATTAATGTTTACATTTGCTCTGCATTCACCCAATGTAATGCATTTTTCTAGTGACAACTATTGTGACTTAACGATCTGTTTGTGATAACACTGATTAATTACATACGATATAAATAAGTCACATCCTTGTCAGTCTGTCAATAACGATTGTGAGATGAAATAAACTAAGGACCCTGTGTTGTGTTAGCATAGTATGTTACTAAATAAGCATCGTTTATTTATCAAATTATGGTGTCTCCTTTGGCGCCATTTCTACGGGTATTTGAGAATAATTCCAGAAGGCTGATACGCAATTTGGTGTTAATTAACAATGCATACATATTATATTTTTGTGTTAAGAACACTGCCAACCCTGAAGCTACCTAAAAATATAGTTGATACACAGGAGAGATATATTTTGTAAGCACAGTCTCATTTACGAGAAGCCTAACTTTGATGTACATTGTAAATAGTACACCTAACTATAGCTGTGTCTTGTAGTACTTGTACAATATGTTAAAATGAGCAAGTATTTTATTTATTACTGTGATATGAATAAACAGTACTTGGCAATACTTATAACTTTAGGTTTTCGTTTTTAAGAAGAAAACGGATCCATGAATATGTTTTATCAAGGAAAATCACATAATCACTTTATGTTAATGTGTACTGTTTGATATTACTCTTATTTCAAGCAACTCATAAAACGTTATGGCAATACCAAATCCAGATCATAACTTAATCCGATTTAAGCAGGCGAGGTTAAACAGGAATAATAAAGAGGCAACGGTATGTGGAATCGGAACACATGACAGATCGGGCTGTAGACATGCACACTAGCAAACAATGTGTTCCGCAGCTGTTGTCAAACCCAATTCTCACATAGGTGGCCTGTTAAACCATGCAGTGGGTTAAAGCAGGTGTATTCGTTTAACAACATTGGACCTGCAGGGGTCCAAACGAATAAAAGATAGGCTTAAAACAGTAATATCCTATATGCATTGCATATCTGTATAATATATTAACACAACATACAACCTGGCCCGTATTCTTGAAACCGTTCTCATACTCGAACTCAGACTCTTTGCTCAAGCCAACATTCTTGTTCCGGTGACAAATCTATTAAAAATGTGATGTAGGATATGCCCCGTATAAATCATCGAAATGAGATTGACATATATGTCAGTCATAATAGTGTGATTTGTCGTAATATTCGAATTATTTTCTCTGAAATCCAAAAAGGTTTATGATAATTTGTTACCATCTTGTTGATTAAACACTTTACTTCATATTTCTACAACATATATCTATTGAATACACCGTCAGAGAACTGAACTCAAACTACAATTAATACAATATGTTTACATTTGCCCCCACGCCGTCCAATTACAACAGTGTTAGAGGGCAAGTGTAATTATATAGGCTATACTTACAACTGCTCGACTATAATTACAACTGCCTGTTTCAGGTGTAAGCATATGTAAACAAACAAAATGGCCGCCTGAAATGTATTTTGAGGCAGGGCAAATGGTTTTTGTAGGAATATGTCTTAAAAAAGAAAAATATGTAAATATAAAAAATACCTGGTTGTCTGGAGATATAATTACATCCAGACAACTAGTTATTGTTTAATGTTTACACTATTTCGAGCGTTATCGAAGTGTATTACATAACAAAATACTTACCTGTATCTCTTTCCTGTTCTATCATAATACCATTTAGAATATAACAACGCAATTATGTCGATGTGCGATTTATTCTTCAGACACGCTATGTGATTGAACTTTTATCAATCTAAAGCTGATTTCACCAATATTAGTATGGGGATATGATACTTTTGGGTTTATGATTCGCATTGGTAACACTCATCACCATACACAAATGAACGCTAATACTTGCAAGCAGGAAACAAAGCTATTGACTAAATGGAAAATAAATGAAAGTTGTCAACACACAAATGTTTAGAGAACCATATTAACTTAATTAATTCATGTCCATGTCATTGCTTCTTTTTGTGGCAAACTGAATATTACCAATGCGTACTTTAATATTTTCAGATCACAAGGTTATGATCATGACAAAGATATCATACATATGTCTGCTACTCTTGGCGTACATTTGTTTTTCAAGAGGACAAGATCCTATACAATCTGTGTGTAAGTAGAATTTATATTGTCACCATATGATGACCTCACACACATATATTTTATGTATGGTGTTTACCAGATATAAACATAGAGGAAACTTGTTTTAAACATAATGATATCGTATTTATGTTTGTGTAACATATTGCACAACTAAAAACATTATCTAATAAGTGTTACATTTTTGTGATATTATATCTAACATATTTGAACTAGATATATCTGTTCATTTAATGACGCCTAATGTTTATTGATATTATATTTTCAAAAAGGGAAGTTTTCATCAAAATCATATATGTATGTTGTTTGTCGCATGAAAACACCTTTTCCAGTCATCAAACAGTTGATTTGTATGTTTTTCGTGATATTCCCTTCTGATATCAAAATATGGAAGTATAACCACGTATGTATGTACTGTTAGAATAATATTCTACATTATATATTAACACTAATCGACATGTTTGTGAAAATTGCATAATAAAGACGTTAGTTTTTCGAGAAGTAGCTTGACTTCTTTACAACAAATATATATGATACTGAATATTCATCAACATATGATAATGATGCACAATAACCGCTCTATATGAATAAAATAAAGATTATCGGCTTTTTTTTGCCAGTATCATACGATGTAATATCTCAATTAGTTATGGATAAGCATATTTTTTCATTGAGTTGTTACATATTATCATATAATTTTATATCTATTTAGCACACATACCATGCGCTCGTATGACAATAGGTGATCGTCTTAGCATTTTTTCCTAAGTATGCCTTTTTGCTTTTATATTCAGCATGTGATGTACAGGGTACATTGACCGCGACCCTAACGTCCGATTCACCTTGGACTTTACCAGAAAAGGTCACATGTGGACATATTCAGGTCACGCTGAAAACAACAAACACAGACACATTTACCATATCTGGTTGTGGAATTGTAAGTTTCCTTCAGATTATCTTCTATGATTTTTAATTGAAATATGAAGTGATTTACCGGTAAGAAGACATATAACACTATATCAAATATGACTTTTTTATGAATAACAAATATTTCATTCCCCGCATCAGTACAAATTGTGCATTGCTGGAGTACTCAGATCAACATCAAGGTTCTGATTATGGACTTATAACAGAAATGAAAAACGGTGTAAGGCTTACATTCACGAAGCTACCACACGCGCGTATACAATTTGAAAACGATTACGATGACAATTGCGGCATCAGCATTATTTGTTAAAATAGTTTACCAATTTGTGTAGGTATCGATACATTTCTTCTTGAAATTGCGTCAATGTGCTGCAGTACAAATGTCAAACACTGACAAATGAAAGTATCTTGATTTTCTAAGAATTAATACAGATTCAACAAGAAAAAAATCACATATGGTGATATTTTACATATAAAATACTGTTTTCAGGACGATTCAGTGG